TTAACATGTTTAGAATATATATTTTTAGATATTTCCTTTAAAAAAATTTGAAAAAGTTCAAAAATAGCGATTATGACAATTGTCACCTATATATGATACATCCTCACTGAATTTTTAATTTAACATGTTTAGAATATATATTTTTAGCAATTTGCTTTAAAAAACTCAAAAAAGTTCAAAAATAGCGATTATGACAATTACCACTTATCTATGGTACATCACTGAAATTTTGATTTAACATGTCTACAATATATATTTTTATCTATTTCATTTAAAAAAGTTCAAAAATAATTATCATGACAAATGGCACTTTTCTATGGTACATCACTTAAAAATTTTAAAATATAACTATGATGAATAGTTAATCAGAGCATTATAATTTAAAGAAGCTTTAAGTAACTTTCCCGCCTATAATATTAATATATACTAAATGTTATTTGACTTTTGGTCGAAAAAAATGATCTAGATATTGGGTTAGGGGTGAAAAAAAGCAACCCTAACTTTAAGTCGTCTTTAAAAAAAAGATCCATATTTTGGGTCGGATTGAATAAAACGACCCGATGTTTGAGTCTGAGTCAGAAAAACGACCCAAACTTTGAGTTGGAGTCGAAAAATACGACCCAAACTTCAAGTTTGAGTCAAAAAATACGACCCAAACTTCAAGTTTTAGTCGAAAAATACGACCCAAACTTCAAGTTTGAGTCGAAAATTATGACCCAAACTTCAAGTTTAAGTCGAAAAATACGACCCAAATTTCAAGTTTGAGTCGAAAAATACGACCCAAATTTTGAGTCGGAGTCGTAAAAAACGACCCATATTTTGGGTCGAGGTCGTTTTTTTCGGCTTGGACTTGGGTCGGAGTCGAAAAAAACGACCCATATTTTGGGTCGAAGTCGTTTTTTTCGGCTTGAATTCTGGTCGAAGTCGTAAAAAACGACCAAAACTTTGAGTTGGAGTCGAAAAAAACGACCCAAAATTTGTGTGAGCTCTGTTCGAGCCGACTCGGCTAAGCCGATTAACAACACTAGCCAGATATATCGAGTTTATGTTTTTATAATGATGTTTGTAATTTTTTTTATTATAATTGCGTTAATGCTTATATTTTTCATTCTATCTTGATTATGATACCAATTTTATAAATTTTCTTATTTTGCTAGTGACTTATTCATTTGTACTGTTCAAAAATCCTGGTTAGGCCATTGTACAAGGGAAAGATAAAAGTGTCCTCAGCGCGCCTAAATTGAATTTGAAAATGTCTATATAACTAAAAAAAAATAGATTTTAGCACCCCTAAATAATAATCACATGACGCCACCACTGTCATTTGACTGGATTGATAATAAAAAGTTTACAAATGAAACAGAATAATTATATTTTAATAGTATTGAAAGAAAAATAAATTTTCTTAAAATTATGATTAATTAAATTTTTATTCGAAGATATTTCGGAATTGTATTGTCTAAAACAATCATCCTCAAGCAATCAAATAATAAACAAATATATTTTTCAAATTTCGTAAAACATACTTTTTGAGGTAATAAACCTTTGAAATGATGATGACACGTTATGGCAATGACAAAAATATAATGTCAGAAGTTCGCGTGAAACGAAAGATTCTTCATCTTCTCGCTTGATTTCGGGAGCCAATTTTTAATTGATGAAAATACCTTTAAAAGCCTCTAGCAAAATAAATGATTATAAATTAGACTAAATATATATACTATAAAAATTATATGCACGGGTTCTCATGCTAAAAAATTTATGTCTATTAAAATTACAGGTATCAGTTCAATTTATGAATCCCAAAATCAATAACTTTTGATACGGCTAATTAATAATAATTAGGCATCCCCATTATATAAAAATTTCACATAATTTTTTAATTTGTTATTTTTCACTTATATTTTGAACAATATCAAAACACTAAATTTAGAAAAAAACGATTATTTGATAAATAAATAACAGCCTACCCCTAACTTACAATGTAATTACCTATTAAAAAAAGTTATTATATCGCTAAAAATGTTTTCAAACCGGCAAAATATCATTTTAAAACTTATGTTATTTTTCTAAAAATGACAAGGTTTAAAATGATTCAATTTAAGTTTGAAATTTTATTTTATGCAGGGACGAGAACCCTCCTTCTAAATAATAGGTTCAGGTTTGGATTTGGGTTCAATGAAAAATCTCTGAACCAAGTTCGGGTTTAGGTGGGTTCAGGGTTCGGGGACCAAAAAATAATGACTTATTAAAATTAGTTAAAATAACAGAAACATCATTTTTTTAATAAAATTTATTTTTATTAGTATTACCATAAAAATAATTTATCATCATAATTATAATACTACAATACAATTTAAAAAATTACTAAATATAACAAAAATAATTACACGAAAAAATGATCAAAAAATGTTTTTAAATTAATATATAAATTTTTTAAAATTAAAAAAAAAGCTTAAACCCTGAACCTTAAATTTTAAAAAAGGGTTTGGGTTCAGCAAAATATTGAGGGTTTGGGTTCGGGTTCTCGTCCCTAATTTTATGAGGCAAACTGCTATATTGGTTTGGGTTCAGCAAAATATTGAGGGTTTGGGTTCGGGTTCTCGTCCCTAATTTTATGAGGCAAACTGCTATATTTTATTAAATTTGGTCTAAGTCCTCGGCAGACGCATAGACAGGAATTTGTTATAGGGAAAGCAATTTTTTTAAAATATCATAAAAATTTTTATAAAATTCCTCTTGGAGTTATTGAACATCTAAAATTTTATATATTTAGTAGGACTAGTGACTATAAAAAGGGACAATTTCTATTACCCAAACTAAATAATCTTTAAAATTATCAAATATATAACCAGCATATATACCCAAGGCTGAGAATAGTTTTCCATAGAAAACTAGGTTTTTCTCTTATTTGAAAGCTGTTAAAAAGGGAGCTATTATTCAACATATGGAAATATATGCTTATAATAAATTTATACAAAAAATAATAACTTTTTTGAACATTTAAAATGTATATAAATTTATAAAAATTATATTAATTGTAAAAAAAATCTATATTTAAAAAATTGATATAATGGGAATATAGATTAATGCACAAAAAAGTTCTTAAGAATTATATACATCTATACAGGGATCTAAACCGAAACGAATATCGGTTCAGGTTCGGATAAAAATGACGGTTCAAGGTCAGGTTCGGTTCACCTCTAAAACCCTGTTTGAATACTTTTGTGTTCAAACCTACATTAGGATTATGTATAAGGAATTTTTTTTTTTTATTTAATAATTAAAATAAAAACCTTCATTTTTATTAATTGCACATTATAAAATAATATTTATTTATAAATATAACAAATAAATATATCAATGATTAATTTTAATATGAACAATTACTTAAAATTTTTTTATTAAGCCGCACAATTAATATATTTTCAAAATTCGTCTCACTCAAATATCTATAAGGAGATAATATAAATTTAATTGTTGAAAAACATCTTTCCACACGTACTTTGGTAGCTGGCATTGCCAGTATGATATCAGATTTGATGTGTCATTTATAATACTATATGTAAATAATTTATATATTAGATTAATTTTTTTCTAGGCATTATAATTTACGCTTAAAATATTAAAAAATGTTGTAAAATGGCAATATACTTAAGTTTATAAAAATTATGACTGACGTTTATCAATCAAATGTGATTGATAATAATTTTTAAAACAATTTGAATATAATTAAAATTTTTGCAATTACTAGTAATAACTTACACATTATTTTATAAGCATAAAATTATGAGACTCGAACCGGTTCAGAGGCATTTTAGCGGTTCGGTTCAGGTTCGGCTAGAATTTTTTTAGAGGTTTAGGCTCGATAAAAAATACCGGGTTTTAGCGGTTTAACAGTTTGGTTCAGGTTCGGTTTAAATCGCTACATCTATATATATTATTACCTGAAATTTACTAATACAAATAACAAAATTAATCGAATACTAATAAGCAAAATATATTATCTGTCGAATGATTTAATCTATTATTCGATCTAATTATTCGTATAATTTAAAATTATTCGAAAGTTCAGAAATCGGACTTATTAAAAATTCGGGCCGGGTTTGGCTTAAATTTTTAAATATTAAATTTTATGAAATAAATTGTTATATTTTAAAATTCGTGCAAGTCAAGTAACAAGACCAGGCGGACAAATCATTTTTTTTTTCGTGACAAATAAAAAAAATTTTGTTTGAAATCGGGTAGTGTTGGATTTATTTTTAAAAAATTGGGCCGAGCTGAGTAATATTTGACTTAATTTTCGAATCGAATATTTGACGAATCAAATAGAATAATGTCCATATATTCGAAAAATAAGCTACATCCTAAAATAGGTATATTTTACAGTTACTTCAAAAGTAACTAATTACATTGAAAGTTTCTTTTATATTAACCATTTTTTAATGTAAAGATTCCCAAATTTTAATTATAATTTATTTTTTTAAATAAAAATATGGGATATTTGGTTTTAACAATAACTTTTTCAAAGTTTGTATCTAAAAGGCATGCTCGTTTTCCCCCAAAAAGCCTCCCACTAATAAAACCTTCTAGGAGAGCGTAACTATTTACTTATATTGTTATATTCCAAAAAAGGTAATTGGTTAACGGTAACAGGTTACTTTAAAAACACTAATTCTAAATCTATTTTATCAGGTCTAATAAGAAGTCTTCTTCAAGGAAAGTGTTTTTTCAGACCATTCTGTAATTTCACTAAAATTACTAGCTCTACTGCTTTATGGCGAAGACTTTTATAAAAAAATACTAAATAAAATTCGCTAATTTTTGGCTTTGGAAAGGGGGAGGGGGTGCTATTCTCTCAACACGCTTATTATTTGCCAAATCCTTGGACAATCATTTATATTTTAAATTGAAATCCTGCGACATATTTGAATATTATTTATTTATTTTGTTAATAATAATTTTTTTTTTAAATAATAACAAACCTAATATTATTTTAGAGGAAGTACACGCAGAATTGTGTTACGCTGAATGCATTTTAGAAAAAGCGATGCTCACATTTATACAAGATGAATCGTTGTTGAGTTTCGTTAAAGGTGGAATGAAGATAAGGACTTCCTATTATTGTTACAAGTTTATTATCTAAATTTTATATTAAAACTTACAATACTATTTAAAATTTATAGCTTAAAAAAATATTATAAGTTTAGATATCCCCTTGAAACACAGCTTAAAGAATATTATTTTTATTTTAGGCTCATGTTTACCAGCTGGATTTATCCAGGGGGAAGGGGTACGGGAATTATTTTGGAGGCTTCGCCCCAAACTCCCATTTGGCCAGATACCGTCTATGAAAATTTATGAAAGTATTTTTAATTTTTCCCTGGTTATTTTTAGTTCCCATTTTTAAAATATTAATATCCTTTTTATATCCTTTTCGTTAAACATGTTTGAGCAATTTCATGCTTTATTAGTACCTATGAGTGCTTTATCTATAAAAGAGAGTGCTTTATCTATAAAAGACAGTATAAAGGAAAAAATTATTAGCAACAAAATTCTGGCTAACCTTACAAGTGACTGAAACCATTTATTTTGAAAATTTTATCAATGTTTAGTGCTTGATTGTATATTATTATAATCCGTTTGGCAGACAGCATAAAGAAGATAAAAGTTATTGGCAAAATAAATAAATAATTAAATGCCATAATGTAAAATAGAGAAAAACTAAATATTTGGTTTGGCGTGACTTATTAATTCCATAATCAATTTTTTGAATTAAAAAAAGAAACCAAGTTAAAAACAGAATACTATGATGATATAATTTAAGCGTGAAGTGCCAAGTTTTTAGAAACGCTAATCCGTAAACTTATACCAAACCATATAGTAGTGCATTTTATTTTTTTAATCTTTTTGGTAGATGAGTTAATGGGGGCAAAATTAGATCATGCCAGAACGGATAATATAGAAGTTCTAAATATATATCTATCCTTAATATTTTGTTCCTTACCTATTAGTTCTTCAATCATTTTCGCAAACCAAATAAAGTAACCGTACTATAAGCCAAATAAAAACCAAGATATCAAGCTTTGAGCTTGGAGTCAGCCAAACATTTGGGAGCATTAACTCTGAAACTTATATCAATAATTAATGCTTATTTAGTACATTTTAATACTTCAGCAAATTAAATACAGCATGCTTTTTAGTTTTTGTCAGAATATTAAAAATTTTCAAATAAGCTTAGATAAATTGTGGTTTTTTTTTCAAAAATATTAGTCTTAATTATTATAAATTATATGGTATTAATTTATGTTAAAATTTAATTAGAATTTGATTTTTATAATTGAGTTTTAAATATTGTCACCTAGTACATAGATACCCTTCCGCTAAGATCACCAAAATGTTCATAATTTATCTATCCTTTTTTTTGAAAATTAACTACCATCTGCCTATTTTTATAAAAGTTACATTATAATTTTATCAATTTATAACTATTTTATATTTTTTTTCTAATGGTTAGAGATAAGATCTCAAATATCCAAATTCGTGAGATCATTATTAATTCATCAAAGAGAGAAATTTCTGGAAGTTAGCAAACCAATTAGCTCTATGTCGTTTTACCATGTTCAAAAATTTGAGCATATAAACATTTTTCTTTATATCTTTAAGAATTGAAAGTTGATGTTCAAAAAATTGAACATTGGTAAGTAGTTCATGTTTTTTTTGAGTTCTTCAAATTAGAAGTGCCTGGATCAGAAAAAATAATTTTGTATGAGACCATATGTATAGAAAAATAAGAAGTATATACTATTTTATTTTAAGTAACGATCAACGCATTTGTTTAAAGTCATAATAACGCAGATAAAATGGTTACTTTTAATCAAGATAGTATTTTATTATAGGTATTAAATCAAATCGCATTCACTCATGCGCTCAACTTGATCAATTTCACTTCTCTTTTTTATTTCTCTGCACGAAGAAATTATTGAAGAAAAAAACAAGAAACGTTTACAGAATTGCTTAATTTTAATTTAAGATCATTTTTTTGAAAATCGATTGAGTAATATTGTGTGAGAGACATGAGTTATTTTCTTAATCAATCAATATTTATTATTTTAAGGGAATGCCAAGATATGTTAATATGTTACCCTTGGAACGAAGCAGATAATTTTTATACAAAATCTCACTTTGAAAGCGGAACGAGAATGGGGATAGGAGGCTTTAATTTGGTATTTAATTACATCATTATTATATTTAATGGCATTAATCATTTTCCTAAAAAGATATTAGCCAATTTGCCCTCAAGAATATTGAAACTTTTAGAATTTATCGGATTTTCTGGAAACAAGGTTTCTTATAATGCATTATAATATAATATTCATTATTTTATAATTAACATTTTAAAAATTTAAATTAAAAACAGCAGTGGAGATCTTATCATCCAAATGTTCCCCAAAAAATGTTTTGCTAAAATAGATAATATTTTGGGCGCGTGGATTTAGCTCTCCCTAGAAACTACTGTTAAAACAATTATGATAATGTCTTTCTAAAAAAATGCCAATACTTAAAATATATCCTTTTATTAAAAGGAATTTGGTATTAGAGAACTGGAATTGGCGACATTTCAAGATGCTTATAGTCTAAGAAGTCCGCTAAGTGCAATTACACTTCTAGTTTATCATTTATTCACCACATATATCCTCGGTTTGATCTACTTCTTTTTTTTAAAGTTGGAAGCGGACAAGGGACCGGACTGAAGACCGATTTAAAAAATCGAAGAATACAAAACCCGATTTTAAAAAAGAAGTTAAATTGACAGTCTAGCTTTCATTTTATTCATAGACTTATTAAGTCTACGATTTTATGTTATTAAAAATTATTTCACATTTTTTATATTTTCTTAGTAAAAGAATTAATTCTATAAATTATTATTATCAATATTATGTTCATTTTATCATTACTTTCAATGTTAAAAATATAAATAAAAATAAAACACAAGGTTCTGGTGACGGTGATACAGATATATGTCAACAAATATTAAATCTAATGCTTAAATATCATCCAAACGTATTAATTTTTAGTCCATTTTTTGTTTTTTAAAAAATTATTAATTTTAGGGTGCAATATTTTTATATTTTCAAGCTCGATTGTATGAAGTTATTGGAAATTTCCTTAAAGTAAATTAATTATTTATATAGATCAGCAATTCTATCTTCTTCATTATTGAAATCTATATTATGAAGCAAATATCCCATTGCACGCAAATTAAAATTGCTTTAAACATATACATACATATGTTAGAGGGCCTGGGAAAATTTTCGAAAAAGACCTTCCAGCCCGTCCCATAGTTTTCTTTTACCCGGCCCATAAAATAATTTTATACATTTATCCGGCCCTGTGCATATTAAAAAAAGTCATAAATTTGTCTAATTTGTAAGCTTTAAGTTTGCGGGCTCGTAACATAATTTTGCACAGTTGTCAGGCCTCACCCGAAAATATTTTCTCCCAGCCTCGTGATTTGCCGACCTCTCATATTAATGTAATAGGCGTTAGCAAATTCAGGGTCATGTTTCATTGGCACGGGTTCAATACGCGTGCTATAAATGATTTAGGTTTTAAAAAATTTATAAAAACCCAGATTTATTTAACACTTACCACATATACAGATGTTTGATATTAAAGATAACCTTCTGATGGTAGGGTACATAATAAGGGTATTTTCATTAGTGATCTGCATCGGGCCTAATTTTTCAAGCCCGGCCCGAAATTTTTTTAGAAAAGTTTTGCCGGCCCGGCCCAAACCCGAAATTTTTTTAGAAAAGTTTTGCCGGCCCGGCCCAAACCCGAAATTTTTTTAGAAAAGTTTTGCCGGCCCGGCCCGAATTCGAATTTTTTTTAAAAAAATTTACCGACCCAGCCCGGCCCGAATTTATTTAAATATAGAAATCAATCTTTATAATTACTCAAAATAAAAGACATATGTTATATGTCGTTTAGTTTCAATAAATAAAATCAAATATTTTTATTTTACATAAAAAATTGATAAATTTAGATATATTTTCCAATATCCGACCCGGCCCGAATTTTTTTTAAAATATAAGGCCCGGCCCGAACCCGATTATTTTAAATAGAATTAAAGATTGTTTTATCTTTATTTACCCGCATCAATTCAAATTAAATAAATAAAAATGGCACTAGAATTAGTGTCATTCAAAATCACAACAATTCATACTTTTTAATTTCTTAAAAGTTATCAGATTATAAAATAGGGTTAAAACTTTCCTAAAATTCTCATACTGATATATCATGATAAATCTAAACAAAATGTTTGAATTTATTTTTAAGTAGGCTAGTTAAAAACTTCTTTTGTAAAAATTAGCTATATTAGGTTTAAATTTCCAATATGATGATAGCTTGAAAATAAATTGCAATTAACTAATATGTAAATTTAAGTCTTAATACAAGTATAAAAATATAAGATTTAATAGAACAAAGGATTGATCTTGAAACCTTCTAAAACAATCTTTTTTATTCTCCCGAAAACATGCTTTTAGCAATTTTAGTAAAAGGTTAACTACACATGAGAGTTTAACATTGCTTAAAATTAAAATTTATTTGTAAGATCATGAGAGATTTTTTACACATAATCGCAAAATATTTTTTTCGAAAAAAAAATTAGAATTTTGAGCAAATTTGATCAAAATTTCAAATGAGCATTCTCAAAAAAATTTTGGGCGAAAAAAATATTTAGATCAGAGACCTGCAGGCCCGGCCCGGGTACCAGGGCCGGGCTGTATTTTAAATTTTTAAAATATATCCGGGCCGTGCCGGGCCTGAAAATTTTTTTTTAAATACCCGGGCCGGGCCGTATTTTAAAAAATTTATACAACATGAGTTATATTATATTCGTCAATTAGATATGGTTATAATGATTATATATAGTTATGATTAATATAATGTTGGGTGTAAGTTAACACTAGCTAACACTCATAGTATCTATTACATAATATAATTATAGTTTTCCTGTCATGGAATAAATACGCAAAGGATTAAATACATTATTATATAATATACTAGTAGAAAGCCCGTCAAAAATGACGGGGTATGAGAATTTTCTCCTTACTTTTATGATAGTTGTTACCTGATATTTAAAAATAATATCCAATTTTTATTATTTATACCCCCCCCTCTTCAGGCCAGGTTCAATCCATTAAAACTAAGTGTAAATACTATGGTTTTAGTCAAAATATATTTAAAGTTTTTACTTAATAATATCAATATCATTTGTTACATATTACTGATCACCTATGCCTAATATTTAATATTAAAAAAAATTCTCAAGCAATGTACGCCATAAATAATTTTGAAAAATTGTTCCAAGCCAATGAAAGATCATAATAATTTTGTTACTTGAGAACTGAAAAAAAATATTTAAAAAATCATAATGAATTTATAAATACATTCAAAATCAGATTTTCATGGGCCTTGATTTTTTGATCAGACCGAGCCCAGGCCTGCAAATAAATTTGTTTTAGGCCACTGTCTGACCCATAGATGTAGTGTTGTTAGAGTAAGGTCTAAAACATATAGTATCGAAATTTCGAGCCATTTTTAAAAATCCGCTCAAAACGAGCCGTTTAACAACATTAGCTAATATGCTTGCTTATTAAATGATAATACTCCCTGAAAAATATGATAATATACCAAATAGGTGAATTTTTTGTATATACCAGGTCGAATATAATTTTTAAAAAATCCGGGCCGGGCCATGCAAATGGTACCTCTGCAGGTCTCTGATTTAGATAATCAAAGAAGATTTTTTAACTCTGCTACCTATTCATCAAATGTTTTTATAAACTTATTTTAGGCAATCGAATCTTTTAACAATACCATATCTTGTCAAAACGAATTTAAACAAATACAATATTTGTGCTATTGGGAATTGATGTGGTGCTTTGCGTAAATATATTATATTTTATTATTGCTTTATACCTAGTTAAAATATTCTAAGTAACCTTGTGTTTTTATAAATACCATATAAGAAACTTAAAAAAATAGTATGGGAAACTTGTGGAGCATATCATGTGGATTTTACATTATTATTTTGGACTTTTACAAACATCATTTAACATTTGCCATTAGGGCTGCAACTACAAGGAGGCATTTGGAGTCCTATTTCAAATAATTACACCTTGTTTCTTGCAAAATTTTTAAAAAATATTAATTTATTTTACAAAATTGAATGGTATTATATATAAAAATTTAACTCTTGCCCGAATCTTTTAAAAAATTATTAAGCCCGACCCAGTGACCGATAAAGATGATTAACCTTAATAAATTAAAAAAAGAATTAAATATTTCTTTCCATTTCATAAGTTAATTATAATTGAAATCTTTGTTTTTTTAAATTAAATACTACTTATAATAATAAAATATTTTTTTTAGTATCGATGATCTGCTGATACCGTGTTATAGGTATTGGTGAATCTTTGATATATTCATTATAAAATTTGCTTTATTATATAATTTATCCTTAGATATTATTATAGGATTAAGATAATTTAAAGCGTTTAAAATATATATTTTGTCAAAATCACTCATCAATCTGATTAGAGATTTAATATCCATAATTCAAACTTATATATATTTTTCATTTATTTGGGATTATTTTTCGTTGCTTGTTCATGGTATTATCAGTGTTTTTACCTTTTTCCACCCAAAATTATGTAAAACAGGATTGAAGATATTTATGAATAATTTCATGTAATTAAATTTTTAGCTTATATCCCCAATCATTTATTCCCTTAAGCCATGCATCATATAAAATACTAACAATGTTCGCAATGGGCAACATTTAATTTAATGGAATAGTCTTTTAGATTCTCCAGTTTTAATTAAAAATAATAACACTTATTTGAAAATTTTATGTGTTTTAATTAGTGTTGTTAAATTGCCTATCTTTGACCATCTCTATTGTGGCTTAGTCAAGCTTTTAGCCTAAAAAATTGAATTAAGCTTCTAAGTTGAGTCTCAACTTGAAGATTGATTCGAATATATTTGGATAAATACATAGCTACGCTGTTTTATAGTTGTATAAAGTTAGGCAATTTAACAACACTAGTTTTAATGATTCAGAATATTGTTTAATTGATTGACATGGTTTTATCTTAAATTCTTTATTTTTTGCAATACCCATTATAATAGGTAGTGTTTAAAAAAGAAATAGTTTAGTCTGTCATGCATATAATTATAAGTATTTTTTTTAAAGCAATCGATAATTTATCTTTTGGGGCCCCTAATTTTTCTAACATTGTATAGATCTTTTTTACGCTTCTAAAAAAACTAAATATACTAATTTTAACCTTTTTCCCCCAAAGGCTCCTAAATTAAAATTTTTGCATACTTTCTAATTTTTTCCGGTTTTTTTTAAAGTTACTAAGGATATTTTACTAGTTATATTATTATAAAATTATATTATTTTTTATAGAGAGCAGAAGTTATTATATAAATCTACTATAAACATATTAATTATATAGATGGTTTGAATTAAATTGATTTATATATTTTTTAAACGGTTATAAAGGTACGATTCTAACTGGACTAAAGCGGCCCATTATAGTCAGTTGTTATCTGAAGGCAGTAAATGGTCCAAATCGACGTACATCTACCAAAGAGCCTGTTTTATGATGATGCTTGATAATACATGTCATCAAGACAAAGAAATAGCTGATCTCATTGAGTCTATATATTAATATTTATATACCTCTTTTTAAATTCGTCACTTGAATATTATAGGGTTCTACCCCGATCGATTCTACATGAGGGAAAATTCATGCTTTCTGGTTAATATTACAAGAAATTTACATAAAAACATATTCAAAATTTATTTTTGACTTGAAGGATTAGATTTTAACTCAATTCCTATTAAAAATAAAATTAGAATCCTATAATAATCAAACCCCCATTTGCTTAAATAATTACCATTATACAAATACTATACACTATATTATAAGTATATTGAATGTACTCCTCATTATCTATAAATAGTCAAGTCCCATTATTTAAGCAAAGATTGGCTGGAAAATCCGTTCCCGTGGAAAAATTTGTCATCAAAAAATGTCAGAGATACAAAGAACAAAATAATCATTTAGTAGCACCCGCCATCGTAAATCAAATCTTTATTTTATTTTATATTTTAAATATGCCCATAATCATTTAAATATATTTTAATTTTTTAGAAACCTACTGGTCCGATTAAAGGCCTGAGCCTTGAAATAATTTTTTTTGAACCCAGGCCGGACCGGAAAATAAAAATATAAACCCAATTAGGTAACTCTACATGCCTTTAATTTTATTCTTATTACAAATAGGAAATAATGTATATATGGAATGGGTTTTCGATTTTGGGTAAAAGAAAAGATTATTTAGAAGTCATACTCAAAAGATTAGATAAAGAAATGGATCAACTGTCCGATCGTAAAGGTATTTGAGATGAGATTTGTTATTAAATTATTATATATTATTCTATTTATCCCTCTTTATGATATTTTATATATTTTACTCTAATGCATTTCTAGCGCTTATATCAACTATTCCTAATATTTTGTTTAATAAAATCCTTTCTTTTTTGCTAAAAATAGAAACAGACCCATTTTATCATGATAATTATTGCCTGATTCAATTGTTAAAGGGAATATGTTGGAAATTTTTAGACAACTACACAATAGCTTCAAATTTGTTTTTATCCATACTAAAATAGTATATTTATTATATATTTATCTACATGAGCATACGAAAAATACTAATGGCAACCCAGCCTGTTTATCCCATCAAACTATGCTATAGTTTTGTTTATGTATTTAACATTAATTGTTTTTATAGAAAGAACCTAATACATAAAACCGCTAAAGCATTTTACATCATCCTTTTTTAAAACTATTTAATAGATTTACCACTTTGAGGATCAATGTTTTACTATATTAAAAATATTAAAGTAACATATCGTAAAATATTAAATGAATTTATTAATGAAATATTTGAAGTTATTGAAAACACACAATAATTAATATAAATCGGAATCATATTATCCATAATTATCGTTTGCCTATTTAGGCAAGTATATTTGGTTTTTGAAAATTGAGATTTTGAATTTGAATATAGCTGAAAAAATATTTATATAATAAATGCTATATTTTTCAAGAATAAATTATTTTAATCATCAGATAGAGGTAAAGAAAGTTAATAATAACCTTATACTATTTGAAATAATTTGTTATTCCGAAAAAAATAACAATTTAATTTTTTTTAGTTAAGTAAAGCGAATTATAAAATATATGGTTTGATCACTTTATTCTATATTTTTAAATATTGTTTGCAATAGAGGGATAATTACTATAATACATTACAAGGGTTTATCATAAAAAAAATTTTAATAAATTTTTATATTTAACATTTACGACTGAAAATGATTTGATTTTTAATAATAAGAAGAAAATGTTATAGGGGCCAGAATCAATATTAGATAAATAAAAAAGAAAAAAGCTTTTCCAATTTTTTAAAATAAACCCATATTTTTAAAAAGAAATTTTATTATCGAATATTAAACATTGTCTCATAAATAATTTCTTATCCCAATTTTTATATATCTGATCGGCCAATAATGTTTAATATCATTAAAAAATAAATGATCAATCGATATTTGCAAATATTCTTTATATTTTTTGGTAAATTGATAGCATAAGAGATGTATTTTCTTATCCTTTTCTAGTGTTGTTAAATAGTCGAGTTTTGAGTCGATTAGTCGATTCATTTTTACAACTCGAGTTATGAACTTGAGTCGTTAACTCAGGTTAACTTAAATTTTATGAAACTCGATTACTTATATTAGTGTTGTTAATTGTTGGTTGTTTAATACCCAGACCTTTGGCTCTAAAATCGACTAAATCAGCTATGGCATGAACCCCGAGCACAGACACATATATTTTAATATTTCTTATTGAATTTATTAAAGTATATAAATATATGGTTATTAGAGGTATCAATCGATAGATAATTTAAAAAACCTATTAAGTCGTTATACGAGTTATATACTTTAGTCGACTAGAAGACGAATAGTTGGGTCCTTTTTTCGACTCAGACTCAAACATCGGGTCGTTTTTTACGACTTCAACCCAAAGTTGTAGTCATTTTATTCTATCCGATCTAAAATATGGGTCGTTTTTTAAAGGACTATCTAAGGTTTGGGTTGCCTTTTTTCATCTGACCCAATATCCAGATCATTTTTTCGATCAAAAGGCTTTTAGGGTTGACTCATGTACCGTATTTCCGCGCTTTAAACGGCCATATCTTAGCGGGTAAACAGTGTTGGAAGGTAAAATTTCATTTTTTTCTTAGTTATAGTATATACTACCAGTATACAAAATTTAAGAAAAATTGAAGGGATATGGAATTCACCATATATTTACAATATGATCGGTGCCTGATTTCATAAGTGCAGAAATTTTATTTTCTTTGCAATTTTAATAATTATATCTGTAATTAATTTTATATATTGATATTGAGTATGTATATTTTTATATTTAACAAAATCATATTGTACTTATTTAAAAAAATTTTCTAAAGAAATAATGGTAAAAAAAACAAAAATTTTTTACTTTTTTATAACTTTTTAAAATAGCATAGCCCAATATTTAAAAAAGATAGATTTATTTTGGGAGAAAGAAATAAGGGGAGGGATTAAAAAATAAAATTCCCCCCCAATTGTTTATAAAAAAATTTTTAAACAGCTCTTGATCTTATTTATTTTAAAAGTATCGTGAAAACAAATAAAAATAAGGTCCGTGAAGTTGGCCCCACAATTTTTGATTTTCAATGGTTTATCAGTTGGTGTGATTAGTACCCGATTTGTACCGTTTTCAGTTCGATTTGTACCATCACCGTTTTTGAGATATTCAAAGAACAAAATGGGGGGCCAACTTCACGACAGCCCCCCAACTTTTGAACTTAAAAATAAAAGGTGAATAGGTCGATAGAAATGATTTGTACCGTTTTCAGTTCGATTTGTACCTTTTCGATGTTATATTATATTTTTTTAAAGTTTAGAATTGGGGTCCTTTAAATTGGCTTAAAATGACCCGTTTTCCAGCTATTGACCGTTGAAAATATGGCGCCAAAAATAAAAAACACTCAAAATTTATTTTTTTAACGTACAACGGTAGAGAATTTTTTCTCTTCCTCATGATTCCTCAAATTAAGCTTTATCTTCATTATTTATTTCGGAAATCAAATTTTAAACCTTATATTATAACGTGAAGTTAGCCCCCCCCCGATATTCAAAATTTGAGATTTTTCAAATTTTTAAAACGGAATTGATTTGTACCGTTTCAAACTCTATTTGTACTATTACCGTTTTCCAGCTATTGACCGTTAAAGATATGGCGCCAAGGTTTAAAATTTGATTTCCGAAATAAATAATAAAGATAAAGCATAATTTGAGGCATCATTAGGAAGAGAAAAAATTCTCTACCGTTGTACGTTAAAAAAATTTTTAAAAAAAATAAATTTTGAGTGTTTTTTATTTTTGGCGCCATATCTTTAACGGTCAATAGCTGGAAAACGGTAATAGTACAAATCGAGTTTGAAACGGTACAAATCAATCCCGTTTTAAAAATCTCAAATTTTGAATATCGGGGGGGGGGGGCAAACTTCACGCTATAATATAAGGTTTAAAATTTGATTTTCGAAATAAATAATGAAGATAAAGCTTAATTTGAGGCATTTTGAATATCGGGGGGGGGGGGCTAACTTCACGCTATAATATAAGGTTTAAAATTTGATTTTTGAAATAAATAATGAAGATAAAGCTTAATTTGAGGCATCATTAGGAAGAGAGAAAAATTCTCTACTGTTGTACGTTAAAAAAACTTTAAAAAAAAATAAATTTTGAGTGTTTTTTATTTTTGGCGCCTAATTTTCAACGGTCAATAGCTGGAAAACGGTGATGGTGCAAATCGAACTGAAATCGGTACAAATCATTCTCTATCGACCTATTCATCTTTTATTTTTAAGTTCAAAAGTTGGGGGGCTGTCGTGAAGTTGGCCCCCCATTTTGTTCTTTGAATATCTCAAAAAAACGGTGATGGTACAGATCGAACTGAAAACGGTACAAATCGGGTACTAATCGAAAATCAAAAATTGTGGGGCCAACTTCACGGACCTATAAAAATAATATATTATTAAAAAGAGGAAAGGAAAAAGGAGTGATTATTTTCGTTATTAAAAAAAAATAATTAAATAAAAAAAACTATTCTATTAATTTTATATACCAAAAAATAAAATTATTCCCCCCACTCCCTTAATTCGGTGCCAGCTAGGCGTTAACAAATTATAAGAAATAAGAATTTATTATTTCAGAGATTTAGTATAAAATTATTATTATTTTTATTTGAATGAAATTAAAATTTTAAATCCATATTTTTTAATAAAATTTTTAAATTATAAATCCTTTTTTTTAATAAAAGTTTTTATATGAAAATGATATTATTTTTTAAAATAATATATATTATAATCGATTATGTCTAACCATTATTCTTGAGGATTATAATTTTCCATTAAATCAATAAAGAGTTCAAGCAATAATAAATAAGATAATTTACATACATAACGTTTTTTTCAAACGGTTTCTGGGTAATGTTAGGAATCCTTTATTTCCAAACGAAGGATATTAATTTTTGGAATTTCGATTAAGTTCATGTTAACAAAATTTCCGTTAAATAGAGTTTAAAATTCCTGAACCCGAATTAAACCCTAATTTGGCAATCTAGCAGATATTTTTCTCTTAATATTGTACAAAAGTTAAAAATAAAATGTTAAGATTTAAACATGCCCATTAAGAGAAATACGATGGTCAAAAATTTTATACGAGTAACCATATTTATTTTTACCCCCCCCCCCCCCAATCAAACTTATATACACCATATTTAGGTAGAACTAGGCTTATTTGATACAATCCATCACATCAATATTTGGTGCCGATGATAATCCTAACCTACGTAGTAATTGCCATAGAGAGGTGGCGCTTGGTTTGCTAATTATTCAATAGTTCTAATTAACTATCGATTGATGTCTCTAATAATCATATATTTATATACCTTAATAAGGTCAAGAAAAAACAACTTAAAATATATTGGTTGTGCTTGTGGTTTGTGCTCATTGCTAGTTTAGTCGATTTTTAGACTTAAGTCACGATCTGGGTTTTACACAATTAACCAATTATAATCAATTGAGTTTCATAAAATTTAATAACTATTTATTGAGTTCACGACTCAAGTTCAAAACTTGAGTCACGACTTGAGTTCACGAATCAAGTTCATAACTCATGTCGCCACTTGAGTTCACGACTCAAGTTCATAACTCGAGTCGTAAAAATCAGTCGATTTTTTTGACTAAAAACTCAACTTGAGTCGTAGTTAAGCCGACTCGGCTGAGTCGTTTAACAATACTATCCTTTTCAATTAACTACTATAGAATATAATTACATTTTATAAAAAAAATGATGAAAAACCAACATTCATACCTATACTATTTCGTAAATTTCATTAATTATTCTAATTTAGTTAAATCTATAAAACGTTTGTTTAAAATAATTGATGTTAAAAATTATTTTAATAAGTTTTATAATTTATTTAAAAATACATCAACGGTGAATTCCTATATATATATTTTATAATTATGACTTAATGCTTTCTCTAATTTTTAGGCCATAATAACATACATGCTTTATACAGAATATATCTTTTTATGCAATGGAGTTATAAATAACCAAAATTATTTGCTACCTTATTTATTAATAATTGTTTTATATACATTATTATTTTAATTTTGGCAGCGAAGCAGATATCAAAGATGATTTTTATATAATTCCTTATTCCTTAGTCGAATTGGCATTTATATCAATCGAAGAACGTGATAGTCAAAATGCCATCCAATATTTGGAAGCAGCTAAGTAATATTTTATAATAAATGGATTAAAAATTGAAATAATTACTTAAAATGATTATTATAAAATAGAACCTTCAATGGCTATTCCTTACAAAGCAGATTACATTTCAAGATTCATTCGGCTTTCAATTCAATCGAAGTTAACCAAGAGACTTGGAACCAAGAGCCGTCCCCCGATAAAAGCCAAATAATCTCAGCACAACCCTCATCCTTAATCGCCTCTCAGCCCATTCTTCCTTATCCACCGGAATCCTTAGTAGATGCTGTGAATGATGAATATCATAACGAGTTGCCCGTCTTATTCGAACCCATGTTTTTTTCATCGAAATGTGTCGAGGTTTCAGATTCACCTCCGCGTTTACCACATGATGCTTGTATAAGCACTAACCACTTGCAAGTATCGAATAATAAAAAACATAAAAAGAAAAAGATAGTCAACTTATTGAAAATGAAACCCTACCACTCTAAAGTTTCCTCGTCCAAACAATCCCATCTCAAAATATCTCTCTCCTCACAGGATTTGAGGGGTCGAGGAGACGATAAAACCAAAAAGAACCAAGACAATATCTTTGCAACATCATTATCATTTCTCAATTTAAGCTCGTTCCTTCATCATTTGCCATCTCATCATCACAACGATGACTCTTGCACACTATCCCCGTCACCCAAATCTCTACCTCCTGAATCCAAGCTCAATAAAATCTCTCAATTTAAATTCCTCAATAACTCTTCTAATTCAGGTAATCTACTCAAGACGTCTATCTTAGGAGCTATATATCCTACTCTCACAACCACCAAACTCAAAAATACTATTCAGAACTTGATTGTTGATAAGAAACAACAACTCTCTGATAATAAACGACTTCAATAAAGTTGTTTATTTGTATCACGCGTAATAATTATCTAAGAAGATTTATATTTTATGTTTAAAAAGTGCAAATTTACCCTATTTTATTCCCCGTAAGTTATACAGAGATCCTAGAAAAATTTACCATATTCCCTATTTACATTTATTTTTCCTAAAGCTTTATTAATAATATAAATCATAATATTAACTTATAAATAATGTATATTATACCTTTTGGTAAGTATTAAATATTCTATCTAATAAAGATGTTTAAACATTTCAAATTATTATTATTAGTTTAGAAAAGTTGTTAGTGTCTATAGATTCTGTCTTTAAGATGGAAAAATGCTGTAGATGTATTTTAATATTATTCTATTTTACCTTTTTATTATATTAAAATATTTTAAATTTATTCTTATTTTCGTATTAAAATTTTTTAAATGATGCTATTTTTTCTATTGACATTATTAAATATCTATTCGAGTTTATTTCTATCCAATTCAAGTCAAGTTTTATTTTAAACTATAGATGACGAAAATATGACATTAATAATAATCTTCATAATTATAAATTCCTAAATAGTTAACCCTTGAGTGGTATACTGGGACATAGCAACACCCTAGATATTTTTAAATTGTTACTAAAACGCATTTATTTTGACCTCTTTTTTCAGTACTTTCCTATTTTACTCTAAACGATGTCTGCAATGTTTCATCTTTTCGAGATTTGAACGCTTTATTTTCGCTGGGGTATTTGTTAATAAACCCTACACCCGTACTAGCATTAGTCTAAAAAAACAAATATAATGCTAAAAATAACATTTTTTTATATTTCAATATTTTTATTCGGAATTTAAAAAAATTATATATAATAATTTTGTAATTTTTATACGTGTTTTCATATAGAAATATGCCATACATTATTTATTCCGGCTATCTATTCATATATAAAAAGTTATAAAATTTATATTAACATAATTTTCAAATTTTATATTAATAATTATTTTTAATAAATCTTTAGCATAGCAAAGCGTATTACAAACAACATTTATAAAATAAGGGTGAGCTATGCCCCAACTAATCACTCGCATTATTATTTTTCACCATACTCAAGGGTTAATATTGGTGATTGATGAAGAAACCATCATCACCGCACAACAAATTTTTCAACTTAATTGAACTTTACTTCAAATGCTAGAAAATTTAAAGTACCGCCCCCCTCCCCAATGTTAAAAATGTGCTTAAACTAGTGATGAAAATGTTTTATTAATAAAAGCTAGCAATATATTTTGGTTTCGGTTTTTTCAGGTGCGATGGATGTTGAATATGAAATGGATCATTAATTTTGGAAGACTCAACAGCGCTATTTATTGTATAGCTATATATTTTTTTTTCTATATCACGCTATAAACATTAACATAATATAGTTATTTGCTCAATATTTCCAACCAACAGATTCTACTTATTTAACATAGATATATAGTAATTTAAAGTTAAAATCGGTCTTCCCTTACCTTACAATGTTATTAAATATAGCTGTAGTTTTTGGACGTGGGTTTTTAATTTTGACTCATTTCCTTACGCCCACAGGTGTTTAAATAATACTCCTTGAACTGTTATGTATACAAGTACGTGCGGCTTAACGTGTAAAGGGCTTTTCGTAATTTTTCCTCAAATTTTTTTTTATCTGTTGTACCTACAACGTTTAGATGTCATGCGCTTTATCGCATAAAAGCTAGCATTAATATCATTTAATAATATATAAATGAATGGTAATGGAGTGGGGGGAGGGGGGGGGGGTTCCAATGGAAAAAGAATGTTCACACTGGGATACCTTAATGAAGAAAACTATGAAAATGTTTTATTAATAAAAGCGAACAGTAATATTTTATAATCATTTAATTATATATTAACGAAATATTAATGACCCCCATCCTCTCCTTGAAAAATAAATTTTTGGAAGAAACCCAAAATTATTTTTGCATAAAATATGTCTTATTTTACAATTATTTTTTCTGACCTTTAAATTTATTAGGTTAGGAAATGCAAAATTAATTCACAACTAAGGTACTGAATAAAATAAACTTGATAAAATTTTTTTTATTTTATTAGGCAAGGCATTTGCATTTAATATCTAAACCAATAGATCTTATAAAATCAGGCCTCGCATTCCATCACAGTATTCCTCGCAAAGTTTAATTGACGAACTTGGGTATTTGTTCGTTTGCGCTTTAATGCCTGGTGTCTACCTACACGCCATTGTTTTAGTATTCTGTCGGAAGCTTTCTCGTATTTCATTTTCTTATCAATACCTAAATCGATAGTGTTTAACGGTTGTTCCATCCTTCACATTGATGGTTAGTAGTTCTTCATTAGTTAGGTACTATGAATTATGTTAATGCAGATCAACAAATTTTTATCGAAATAGTTGAGAATATCTTTTCTATTGTTAAAACTAATCGTTCTTATGAATTTCATTGCATTGTTTATATAATGTAGCAAATGCTAATTTGTCCATCATTCCGAAAAGAAGCTTACAGTTTCATTGGTCCTGTATTGACTTTCCAGGCATTGTCTGAATTTTTATATATGTGCTTTGACACTAAATAAAAATACCATATGATATGATATGATCCCCTCATTAAAAGATAGAATGTAAATAATAAATATATTATTAATCATTCGAAATTTATCTTGCGTTATTTTTGAAGTACACAAAAAACAGCGGTGATAAAAATAGCGTTCATTGATGTTCGAATGACATAATTGAGGTTGGATTACTCTTTCTTCGGCAAATCGACCATTATCAAATAATAAAAATATGCTTGAGTTCTATCTAGGAACCACAATCTGCCATATCACCTATAATACATAAATTTTATAAAAATATAATTATATTTTATATATAACATGTGATTAACACTTTGGTTTATTTTACAACTTCTGCTTAAATTTGAAGAGGCTTTGTTAAATTATCTGTTCAGTGATTTTACGTGTAGTAAGCGGATTTCATTGCCGTTAGTTTATTAATATTGGGTGGGTGAGTAAGAACAGTTACAATTACAGGATTTTGAATTGTTTACTTTAATATCGCTTGACATTTAAACGATGAATACTTTGAGCAACACCATCTAATCTTGTTAAACATTTCTTATGATGGTATACAAATAGTTTTCAAATATGATCTTTTTAGAATGAATTAGATCGATATAAAATTTACCTTATTAGTAATTTATATTTTTAATTGAGAAATTATTTTATATCATAATTAACATTTTGTGATATTATGTTACAAATTATATTTTACTCTCTTTATTTGTATATTATGCCATATAATGATGTCTATAAATCCATTATAATCCACACAATTCGCACTTATTTTTCCATCTAAATAGAAAAAATATTGGTTCTTTGTTTCTTGCAAAAATTTTAAAATATAATTCTATCTCATTTCACAAAATGAAATCATATATTTCAATATTTAAGCCCAGCCCATTTTTTTTTAATATTAAGCCCGACCCAGCCCAAACGATTTTTAAACTTTTGCAGACCTTTAATTTAAAGATCAAATAACAAATAAAATATAATTTAGGTTAAGCTAAATCTCGAGATATGTTCACAATCTTGATTTAAAATATATCGTTTATTGCAATTGAAAACTTAAATTTAGATATTCATTGAACAATTTTTCATAGGTGTAGTGTAGTTAGAATATTTTTCCGTCAAGTAAGATGAGGAAAAGTTAATATTAAGCTTGCCTTTATAATTTTTCAGTGATAACCTTAATAAGAAAATTACCTTTTTTGGTAGTTTATTTTCCGGGAGGGGGAATTCAGAACATTTTTTGAGGTACTTTTACTGTAGATCCTTAATGTATTTAGACTTAATTAATTTTTGAATTACAAATTAGCCAGGATTTAAAACTCAGTGACTGGCAAATCTGATTGATGAATTAGTTATTATTCCTTATACATTAAGGCTGATATTAAATGATAAGGGTTGACATAATTTTGCTAGGGGGGGGGGGGGGTTATTAGGAGTTTTCTGCATAAATTTTACTTAAAGTCTTTAAGTCCATAAATTGTGGGCCTTTGGCTATGTTGCATTTTTTAAAGAATGATTCGGGTATTTAACTTTTTTTATAATGCTTTTATCCTACAAAGTTTGAATTATAGTCATTATTTTAAAAAATTAATCATTTTTACTCGTTTTTCTTTTAAATATTGTTTATAATAATATATTGTAAACATTTTTTATACATTTTTGGGGGAGAAAATGTTGAGTGGTGAATTCAAAAATTTTATGGCACTTCTAATTTATTAGCAAATTGTAAGATATTTTATGATCTCCCCTCTAATATGGTTAAATTACATGTAGGGGATGTGGAATTTCTTTCTGATATTCAACAAAATTAATATAAACTAAACATCATTTGTCAACTTGGTAAAACTGGAATTAATACCTTGTTCTATATTATCTACTTTAAATAATATATTTCTTTAATCCATGGACGTTGCTCATATTAATAAAATTGGATGAAATAGATAAAATCTTGATTCTTCTTTCTAATCTGATCATAATATTTATATCTTAAGCAATTAATTGTGGATTTCTCATCTATAAATATTTTTAAATCCTAATAAATACAAGGTACTTTATAATTTTTACTATTTAAAATACAATTCCTTACATTATTCAAATAAATACTAAATATAAAAAAATATATTTAGTATTTTAATACAATTATCCATGATAATACCAACCTTGTGTTTATAGGGGAGAATAGGTGGGGGGGGGGGGGGGGTGCTTTATACATACAATTAGCAAGCCTAATTATCCATCAAGATATCGTAAAGCCTCAAAAAAAATTTACGCTATATAATTAATTAGTAATTTTTAAAAACAAGAGGTCTCAAAATCTTACATATCATTAAACAAAACTAGAAATTCCTTTTTATCCGACATAAGATTCATTCCGACATAACAGAGTCCTTTTTGGGAAAGCAAATAGTAAATATTTGTAAATAATTATACTATGATATATAAATTATTTATTTTTTTTTCTTGTATCTTTTTAAATAGTTAAATACAAATATAGATAGATATTTCAAAATTTTATAGAATGTGATATAGTAAGTTGTTAAGTATCTATCCTACTTTAAATTTCCTGTATTACAATTTTCAGTTAATTTCCAAGTATGAGACCTAAAGTAATTCAATATTTAAAATGTTAATTTTTATATTATATTTTAGTGGAAGAAAAAAAGAATGAGAAGGTATAAATATAGTTTTTATGACCCAGTGATGATATCTATAGCATACAAATTATTTTTTAATTATTCTTTTTTATTTTAATTTTTTTCGTCCACCATGTTCGTGAATGAAGATTATGAGATCTGAGGGTCATATTTATTACATCTTTATAACTTATTTTTAGGCTCAAGCGTAAAAGAAGGAAGATGAGAGAACGCTCGAAATAATTACCAAGAAAATAATGCTGCTAAAATATATCTTCATTATGAATTAATTCATTTTTTAATAACATTCTTCTCATACAATATATTGTGAATTACAAATAAAAGCAATCGATGAATTAAAGTGTATTTGTAAATAAAACATGTAAGCATTTATTATCATGAAATAAATTTCGAAATTCTTATGTTGCCCTTTTTCTTGTAAACACTGTCAGTTTAATTTTTTGGGTGTTGAGTTGATACCTTTATTTTTTAATCTGTGAAGAAAAGCTATAATGAGCTTTATTTTCTTCTTTTGCTTTAAGTTGACCCATTTTTAGTAATAAATTAAGTTCTTAAAAGGAACTTGATTTTCTCAGACTAATATATCAAAAAATATTAATATCACAATTTTTATTTTCAAATATGTTTTAAAAAATATTCCAAAAGAAATGTTTTGAGGTTCTAGGAAACTTAGCTACCTTGAGAGATTTTATTTAGACTATAATTTTAAAGGAATATCTCTATCATAACCTTGGGCACCCAAAGACCCATTGGGATGGAATAGGGACATGAAAGATTGTGATTTTATCTAATTTGGTAAATCAGACTAGTGTTTTGGTTTAAAGTTAATTATTAGGCAGCTGAAATCCTAAATGAAATTAAAAAATAAGTTTAAAATTTTACTAGTCAGGAATATTTTATATCATTTGGTATATCAGGAGTTCCTATAACAACAGTGTAGTGATATTGTTATCAAATTACTATATTTTGGTCATTTTAAAATGAGATTTTATCTATATGAAAAATGTTTTTATTAGGGATATCAAAACATTGTTTAATATAGATTTTTTTGACATTTATAGAAGATATAACTTGAACAGGCATATAACATTTTTGGTTGTGGCTTCTTTTGGGGGGCTTATTCTTTTTTGCTTTAATATTGGATTGGTTCTTTTTCTAACTGGTTTATTTTTTATTTCATTTTTAAGATATTTTTTCCAAATATCCATATAATTACAGAGTTTATATATGCGGGTTAGGAGTATTTTGCCTATAAATTTTGTAATGGGTTAGGATAGGAGTAAGGTGAATGAAGGTTTTCAATTAAATTTTTAGATGAAACCAGGGTTGGCCAGTCATATTCAAATAAAAGTTTTTAAGATAATATTTACTTTATCTTAAATATAATAGCAAAATGAATCTATAATATTTTTTAATTTATTTTCATTCAAAGGCTAATATTTTGCTCTGCCTGTTCTGATTTATATTCAATATTAGCTTTTTCTTTAATATTTTTTATAATCTTATATATAATTGTAAAATGAATTTATAATATTTTTTAAATTCATATTCATTCAACAGCTAATATTTTGCTCTTCAGGGCAGTTTTGTTCTGATTCATATTCAATATTAACATTTTCTTAAATATTTTTTATGCTTTCCTGTTGAGATCTTCATTCAATTTTTGTTTTAATAAGAAAGAAATGGGAATTTTTAATAAAATGCCACTTCTGCTAATGGGCATAGTGAGCAACCATTTAACTAAATTGAGATCGGAATCTGATTGTTTGCTATTATAAGTGAAATGCCTAATTCATGCATTATATCATATACTATTAAATAAACTACTAGTAAGTTCCTCCCCTTTATATTGGGGATCCAACAAGCAGCATTGTGATCATGTAATTATCTTGAATTTTTTTTAATAAACGCAATATGTGTAAATAATATGCCAAATTAAATAGAATGCTTAGCATCTATGTAAATAATATATTATTAGTAATAACATAAAAATAGCTTATATTAAAAAATTATAATTAATCTTATAATTGTGATAATCGGATAAGTGCGAAAAAATAAATCTTTTCAGTTCCAACACTTCACAATTGATTGCACCAATATAATTACCAAAAATATTCTCCAGTTATTAGCCCTCCTCTATTCCTAAGTAAGAAAAACTTTTAACTCTGCTCAAGTTTTAAAAAACCTTGCGGAGTGAAAAATAATAGTTGTTCTAACTTCTTATCATATAACTAAATGTTTTAGAACTTTTTCCAATCGCAAATACTTTTAACCAAGCTCTAAACATAGTATTTAAAAAATTTTATAGGTGTTTATTCAATTTTTTTAAACTATTTCCAATACCAAAAAAATTGGGCTAAAAATAAAGTATTTTAATTTATATATATTTTTTGTTTTCCTTCTGGAGTAACATAATAACAAAGGTGCCAATATTTTAGTTGACCCAAAAGTCTAAGAAATATTTTCTGATTCCATAACTGGCCTCAAAACAGAGTATTATACATATTTTTTTATTTTCCTTCGAATTAAAAAAAATAAAAGTAGTGACAATTTCTTACCAGACTTTAGTGTTTTGTAACTTATTCTATTACTAAAAAACCATTAACTCGTCTTACGTAGTTTTAGTTTATTTTTCTTTTTTGATCCAAAAAGCCAACAGAGTAAGTCTATATGAGGAGTACATTAAGTCAATTAGGTCATGGCGTATCGATGGCTCAATAAATTGTCTCAGGTTTGAAGCTGTACTTTGAAATAAATTGTTAACATTATTAAATTTAGAACTCTTAATTTAAAGATAATCTTAAATATTCATAAATCAGATAAATTTTATTCAAAATATTATATAATTATTCCATTAAATTTTTTTATCTTAGAAAAAATTTGATATATAATTTAAAATTTTTTGATGTTATTATAACTCTAGTCTACATTAGTTTTAGCTTAGTTCCACGGTTAAATATAGTATTTAAATACACTAATATAAAAAGTATCTGTATATCTAGATGCTATTTTAGAGGTATCTGTTAGATATTTTTCAAAATATGTTTTGATATACCTTTATTTAACGCTTTTTATATCAAAAGTAAAAATATATGAATAAAAAATTCATTTTATTTCATATGGTCATATGATTTAAATAAATATATATTAAAAAATATTAAGATTATACTAATATAATAAAAAAAATATAATATAAAAACTTATATATAAAATATTAAAGCCTTTATATAAATATTATTATATTAAAACATATAATATCATTGATGCACAAAATTATTTTAAGTATATAAATTCAAATATTATAATCAATTGAAGGGATTTCGTTTTCATAATATCATATGATTTTATGAAAGGTTAGTGAAGCATCCGGTGGTAAATATTATTTTATTTTAATCATATTTATTTACAGATATAACTTACATTAAAGAAATTAAGCTTAAAATCAGCCATCACCCACCTTTAAAGTAATTAAATTATACTGTAGTTCTCTGATATAGGCTTTTTCTTTGTCCCACTCCTTTTAAATTAAAGCCTATAGAGGTTTAAACAACATTTTTCGAAATGTTGTGCCTACAAGTACGGCTTGCCCACAAACGTGTAAAGGGCTTCTCATCTTTTTCCCAAATTATATTTAATCCAATTAGATGGAAATGAACCTAGCGTAGCTCTGTTGTACCTACAACGTTTAGAGGGCGTATGCGCTTTATGACGTATGACGTATTTAGAATTTTTAAAATATTTTTTAGATATTACGCTGACATTTAATAATAAATTATAAGTTTAATACAAAATTTTTTTTAAATAAATACTCGTTTTAAATATGAATTTTTTTCGAAAGAACGATAAAAATGGGAGTATTACACTATCAACAAAATTGTAAAAAAGTTGCAAAAAAATATTTTAAATGGAAAACGGAAATGTGCTCAATTTGAACGAATGCATTTAAAATCCATTGTTTGCGTTTTGAAACGCAACGTTCAATTTGTGCGCACTATTAATATTTATTTTATTATTATTTTATATGGTGTTCGAATTAAATGAAAACAAAATATAAAAATATTGTTTAGATGTTTTGTTTTGTGTTCTCATAATAAAGTTTCTGTTCTAGAACAAAGGCTACAAGCATGACAAATATTGTATCTGTTTACAAATACATTTGTGTAACAATACCACTACTGCTTTTTATTTCAATTTATTTCAAACATCAAAATTTTATTAATTAATTTTCGAATGTTCCATTCTATTTTTATATATAATATCTATAAATAATATTTTATTAATTTATTACATTTCTTCATTTTGAAGTTAGATTTCTTCAATAAACCTCTTTGTAGGTTTACGGTTTCTTAATGAACAACGTAATGTGGTATTTGTGTTTGTATTTGCTTCATTCACTGGCACAACCATTTCTATAACTTCCAAAGAATTTTCATGATTTGGGATAACTAAACGATTTTCTTAACTGATCTCCATGCTTTCGTAATGTTTTCCCAGAAGTTTCAACAATATAAGAATAAAGTCCTATTCTTTTTTTAATTACTCCCTCTCTCCAACTATTGGTTATTTACATTATTTAACTATACAGGTTGTAAGATTTCAAATTCTTTTTCCTTTGAATGTAAATTATGATGTTGGCTTTGTCTATCATTGGCCTTTACTATTTCATGTTCAGCATTTGGTCGGATCCAATCCAGACTTGTTTTCAATTGCCTCCCAAACATATTTGGCAGGAGATCTCCCTGTGGAGCTATGCTCTCCCAATCGGTAGGTTGTTAAAACCTAAGTCATAGCTTCTTAGGGATCGCTAATTGAATCTCTCGTCGCATAATAACGACTTCAAAGTTCGTACTGTACGTTCAGCTAATCCATTAGTTTTTGAATAGTAGGGTGCCGAACGTAGGCCTACAAAAAAACGAATCGAATATTTGTGCTATTCGTATTCGTACGATCAAAGTTTCGCTAACTTTGCTGAATATGTATTGCTACTTTTTTTAATATTAAATCTTGCATCGACTCTTTTCGTAGGATATTTTCTGACAATTGCATATCATCCAAATTAATACTTCGAATATCCAAAGCATGTTTAGAATCTTGATTCTCTTCCGTGTCTAATATCGGAAGCCTTGATAATGCGTCGGCGATTATATTTTTATTACCACGTCTATATTCTATTGTAAAATCATAAGAAGCCATCTTCCAGGCCCAACGTGTCAAAAGATTATTAGAAATTTTAGGTAAATCGCGTTTCTCCCCAAAAATTCGCTCTAATGGTTTACGATCAGTTTGAAGTAAAAATTTTATACCATAAATAAATGAAAGAAATTACCAAATAAAAGTGCTCGAGCTTCTTTATCAATCGGAGCGTAGTGTTTCTCTGATTCTAATAAAGTATGTGACGC